AAAACTATTCTATTTATTAAGGCCCCTACATTGGGGTTTAGGGTTCCATGTTTCCCTAAACCCTAAACCCCAAGTAGTAGGGGAATGGATCCCTATGAGAGGTCCTGAAGGTCCCTTATGGCAAGCTCTCTGTTGCTGATGGGTATTTCTCTAAATGAGGGTCCCCTTTTAGGTCCCCAATTCAGTACGGCACCCTTATAAAAAGGACCCCTAAAGGGGACCCTCTAGAGCATTGCCCTTATCTTGTCGGTTCCGGGGCAAGGGGGATCAAGTTCAAGGCTGATGGGGAGCTTAGGGTCTTATCGTGCTTGAGGTTTACCTGGCTTAAGTTTAGAGCTCGGGTTTAGATCTTCAGGTTCAAACCCTAAACCCTAAACCCTAAACCCTAAACCCTAAACCCTAAACCCTTTATGGTTGAAGGAGTTTACAACTTCCACTCGAGCTTCGGGTTACGGTTTGGGGATGTTTGGGGACTTGGAGGGTCGGGGGACTTAGTAAATGGTTATCCCCAATTAGGGTCCCTTTTAGGGTGCTTATAAGTCTACTTATTACCTACTTACTAAGTCTCCCGACCCTCCAAGTATTGCTGAGTTGGGTTCAGGGCGCAGGGCAACACAGGGTTCGGTGTTGAGGCCTGGAGCTCTAGGCATGTGTGGTATTGGTTTTACGGTGCAGGCTGTGAAGCATTTGGTTGCTTGGAGGATCATGGGTACTTATAAATGGAGTTATAAGTCCCCAAATACAGGTTATAACTGTAGCTACCCTATTTATAACCCTACTTATAACTATCCATGAACCTCCAAGTGTGGAAAGGATCTGCGCATACAGGCTTTTCAGGGGAGGTGGTCCTGGTTCTGGGGTGTGATGGCATTGGGGCCTGATGCTATGGGGGGTATGATGGCCACGAACGCAGAAAGGAGTGTGGAGCCAAAGGTGGAGGAGGGTCAGATTCTTAGATGCCTGGTGGCCTCAGTTTATTTTCGTGAGGGCCTCGAGGATGGATCCTTCGTGCTGCTGCTTTCCCTCGAAAGTGCAGCGGTCCCTGCAAGACCGCAGGACACGTGTTGGCGAACCATGCAACTCCCACTTCATTGGGTTCAGGTAGAGTCAGAGGCCCAAATCGCAAGCCAAAAACTGTAGCAAGACTGTGTGCGTTCAGTACGACTACTAGCCGTAAGTTGCTTGGAGTGACTTGAACTTCTTGTCTACATCAGAGTGTGGGGCTCGGTTGAAGCCCTGGGTACCAGTAGTCAAGAACACATCCGGCAGCATTGCAAACCAGAACTGTAGATGTGCCAGTCATCCGTCACAAGGGCGCTGTCGAACGACCGATCGGATGGCTTAGTAGGAACTGCTTCAAGGAGACTCTGGCAGTCAAGTGTTTGCTGATTCCCGCGATCCTCTAAGTAGACTTAGAGAGCACCCGCGCCTGCAACAATCGGGAGTTCACTGGAAGTCAGTATCAAGGGTTGACGAGACATGCAGATTTGCAGGCTATCCCCCGCCCGCAGCTTGCTTGCAATGAGGCTGAAAGCACCACATCAACATATTCTTCGGGCATAGGGACGTTTCTACAGGGGACTTCAAAGGAAACCTGAACTGCGAGATCTCTTGGGTACAACTCCGAAAGTGCATCTGTGGGGTTCAAGGTATACCATGGTTTACCCGAAGTATCCATTTATCGAAAGTGGGACAGTGGGGCTCAGAGTTGAGGTTTCGGGTTCCAAAGCTGAGGCTCAGTGCATTTGTTGGGCCCTCAGGTTCAGGTCCTTTCACATATCCTCTTCAGACGATAGGCAGGCTTCTTTACATTTTCAATCTTCCGGGAAGTACCAAGTAGGACCAAGGGGTCACCCCTAAATCCTAGAACACCATCCCGGGCGCCAAGGAAGAAGGAGAAGAAGAAAAAGAAGACGGAGCTCTAACCCAGAAAGCAGCAGCCGAACTAGCGAGCTGGGGCCTTCCTTCTTCTCTATGGGAAGCTCCCTTTTAGGTCCCTTTCTAGGTCCCAGGATAGTACGACACCCTTATACGCAGCACCCCAAAAGGGACCCTAATTTAGAGAACTACCCATATTCCTCCCCTCTCCCATATAGCAGCTCGATCTGCAGATCAGCTGGGTCCGTAGATCTTGGGGTTCAGGGATTGCTTGAGTTTCTTGTAGCCGTACAAAGGCCATGCATAGGAGCATGTGCAGAAACACATGCACAATACATCTAGATCATCTAGAATCTAGATAGGAGGCAATAAGACCGCCCGTGCATAATCTGCACATACCGTATCATGCACGCCAAAATGGGTGCAAGCACGATTTCTTGTGATTGCCGCTGGTGTTTGATGCCCATGCTTGCTCAGTCTCGATGGCCTTGCATGTTTGCATGGCGTGGCTTACAGAGGGTTCGAAGGTTTCCGTGGAGGTTAGTGATCGTGTGTCTGTTTGTCTGTCTGGCTGCCTGTCTGTGCTCACATGTCACTTGTTGGTTCATGTGTTATATATGTGTCATCTTTCTGGTGGCGTATGCTTCGCTACTGGTAAGCCTAATATAAAAGCCTAAATAATTACCTATACTATTTTGGGGGCTCCTTATTACAATTTTCGTATGATATATATTAAGGCCCCTACATTGCACTCCCCAAAATGCCCTCCGAGGCTCCTAGCCCAGGCCCTGCGCCCTTAACTGTCTGGTGCTTAGTAGGGAATGCGGGAATGGGTTATAGGGACTACTATAAGGGGCCCTAAATCATAGGGATCCATTCCCCCATTCCCTACTAAGCACCAGACAGTTAAGTTTTTCAAGCGCTGAGCCATGCCTAAACCAAGAAAAAGCAGAGCTTCGGATCATGGACTTCCAATCTTACACCCTAAGCCCTAAACACTCACCCTAAACCCTAAACCCTAAACCCTAACCCTTGCTAAGTAGGAGGCAAAAAACCCTAACCCTAATTCTTAAACCCTAAACCCTACATCAACGCCCAAATCCGCCAGGACTCATAGAAACCGCAGGCCTCCTTAGCTCCTTGTCTTCTGGACGCGCGGCGAAGCCAACAGCATCCCATCCGGAGCCTTAGGATGGATATGAACCAGGGTTTCAGGGTCTAGGGCTTTAGGGCTTTGGTTCCCAAGAGTTTAGGGTTTATGGTTTTAGGGTTTAGGGTTTTAGGGTTTTAGGGTTTAGGGTTTAGGGTTTAAGGGTTTAGGGCTTAGGGCTTTAGGGTTTTGGGGAGGGCTCTAAGGTTTTAGGGTTAGGGGTCCCAAGCGATTTAGGAGGCGCAGCTTCCGGTTGAGGGTGTTGCGGATGCAGTAGTAGACAGGGGATCTAAGAGGTGCTAGCAGGACTCCTGTCAAGTGAAGTTGTGACGTTTAACATGAGGAATGGTCGCCAGGATAAGTTTGGACTCGGCGCGGTTTAGGGTTTAGGCTTTTATTGTTGCACGAAGGCGCGTGACAGTGGTTGTCTGTGGAAGTGCGATATCTTCCGCTGACAGCCCAGCCATCCCAAAGACCGGAAAACCCAGGTTCATGTACTCCCATAGGGGCTGTCAAGGTGCAGAGCAAGGGGGGATTGCATAGTTGAGCATAGGTCTTGGAGGTTCATGGGTAGTTATAAGTGGAGTTATAAGTCCCCTCATCACTATAGGCTATAACTATAGGTATCCTACTTGTATACCTTTTTTTCGCCTATAGCTACCCATGAAGCCCGAAGCATGGCATAAACTTCACGAGCAGCTTCCCCTCTGGCTCAGCACGGCCTCCGTGCCAGCAGAGACCATGTGGAGCCCAGGCGCGCGATGAAGAAAAGCTGCAGGAACCACTCGCAAACCAAATCGGCAATCATTGACTGACAATAATATTGGAGACTAAAGAATTACCAATATTGATGCTAGGGTTCCCTATTTGTAAAGACACTATAAGGGAGCCCATAACCTTGTTCTTTACATTACCCTGAACCCTAAACCCTAAACCCCATAAGCATCCTTGAGCCCCAAAGCCCCAGACAGCAACTGCTTTGCGGCTTAAAGCCTCAAAGCGAGTTTAGGGTTTGGGGTTTAGGGGACCTTGCATCCTCGATCTGATCTCTTCAAGATGTGTCAGGGTTTGGTGGTAGTTCAGGTTCTGTTGCCAGCGTTTTTCTTTGGGGTTTCTTGTGTGCTTTCAGTATTTTTTGCCAGGGTTTTTGTTCGGGGCTTCTTGTGTGCTTTCAGTAGTGCGGCTGCCTCGTCTTATAGGCTTATCCTCTGAAATCCCAACCTGCCGCCAAAACCCCTCCCGAATCCAGCTTGGCATGAATTCCAGCTTTCTTGTTCGAAGGTGCCAGGAGTACGTTTAGATGTTTTCTCAACAGGGAATGCAGAGTCCCATCCCATCGTTTGTTGAGGTTGAAAAAATCGAAATAGGAACATCCAGAGGCTGTGCTATTGAGGGAGTGTCACCCGGCTTATAACGTCAAGGCACACATGCATCAGCGGTCGCAGTCGGAGCATGTTTTGCAGTCGACCGAGAAGGATGCTCATAAGGCGGTCTCAGGCACACTGGTGTTTTGCTCACCGGCAACATGGCAGAACTCAAGCGGTCGGGATTCACAGTAGGACGCTTGGTTCTGAAGTTTCGGATTGTAAATAAGTTGGCTATGGGGGGGGGGGGCGGGGCGGACAGGAAATTGTGACAGAGGCCTCGCCCTTGCTCCGCAGCTGTGGCTCAAGGAGACGACGATGATATCACATGGCCTTCAGAAGAAGGCTTTATCTGCCTGCCAAGCATGGAGGCTGCTGAGTTCCATCGTGGTTCACGGCTTCTGTGCCTCGGCCTTCGAAGTGGTCGAGTCTGAGACAGATTCCGGAAGTTACTTCAACTGCTGGAGGCTTGGTGACGCGATTGCGATTCAGTGCTCAACGAAGAGAGTCTCGTAACATCCTATATCAATGTGATTCAGTTTTGTGAAATAGGCAGTGTACCCTAAGCCCTAAACCCTAACCCGAAACCGCCCAGGTAGCTTCGAGCCTTGAACCGTGAGCTAGAAGCTTCGAGTCCTCCTGAAAAGTTCGATCTTTTCAGGGCTTAGGGTTTAGGAGCTAGTTCTGTTTGCTTTGAGCGTTAAGTGGTGATTCCTTGATACTCAAGTTAAGCTTTACATGACCTCCAAATTCCCTCTTTAAAGCCTGGGCCTTCAAATGCCCAAAACCCTTACAACGACCTCCACAGAGAACTTCTTAAACATCCTAATCAGAACCCTTCTCCAGCCCATATATACTACACCATATTTATATATATAAGACCATCATGACACTAAAAAGACATTCGCGGCATGTTTGCGTTCCGAGGCATGCTGTGCAGCCTAATGTTGGCCTTGCTGCGCCTGGGGGCTGGTGCCGAGGAGTTTGCAGGGGTTGAGTTCCTGGAGGGCCACGTCACCCATGCGAGGCAGGGTACTTGGAGGTTCATGGCTAGTTATACGTCGGGGTCTTTTAAGGAACCTAAAGGGGGTTTAGGGTTGATAAGGGTTTGGATTTAGGGTTAAGGGGTAGTTACAACAAGGGTTATAAGTAGGGTAACTACAGTTATAACTTATATTGGGCGACATATATATAACTACCCATGAACCTCCAAGTGAGGGGCCCTTCTTGAAGGTAGCTGGTAGCTTTATGGGGGTTTAAAGGCTTGAGGGTTGCATTACATGGGCCTAGGATACCTTATTGAAGGTATTCCTTCGAATTTGATGCTTCTAGAAAGGGCGAGGAAGTACCTTCTCCAAGGTATTTCTTATCACAAGAAGGATTTGGTGCTAGGTTATCGGGTTCAGGCTTCAGTAATCATGGTTTAAGACCGGAAACTCTCAAATTGTCGGGTCAATGATCCTGGAAAATGCGAGGTCGCATGAAGCCAGCCATGGTTTCAAGTATCCGGTGCGCATCTCGTCAACATCAGAACAGCTTAGGGGTTTGGGGTTTAGGGGTTTTTGGCTTCAGGAAGCGACAATCTCCGGCATAATTCAGTTTCGGTGGGAATTCGCCGTCGTGGTCTCAAATGCCCGTCCTCCAACCAAACCCATCAACCCAAGGTATGGCTTTAGTAGACTTGGATTCGCCGCCAGCTTGGTGGTCACAGGCCGTTCGCAGCCGGCATGGGGGGTTTAGGATTTAGGGGTTTAGGGCTTAGGATTTAGGGGTTTAGGTGTTTAGGGTTTAGGGCTTAGGGATGAAAGGGTTAACATGTTCGGCCCTAAACCCTAAACCCTAAACCCTAAACCCTAAACCCTAAACGCTAAACCCTAACATGTTCGGTTTTCGATTGCAGGGTTCAGCCTAGAGCTCCAGGACCTTGTGGGCACGAAGACGCTTTTTAGGGTTTAGGGTTTAGGGTTTAGGGTTTAGGGTTTAGTTTAGTAAGGGTTTTTTTTTTGGTCACCGTTTCGGTTTGGGTTTCAGGATGTTTTGGGTTTACAGGGCCCTGGTCCGGGCTTCAACTCGTGCTTTCCGAAATCGAGCCCTTAATAAGTAGAATAGGGTTGTGCGGTCCTTCACAGGGTGACTATACTTAGGGAATATACCTTAAAGGGCCCCGTAAATGCGCCGCAAAACGTAACCTGGCTCTTGAGCGCACCCCACGTGCTTAGAACAAAAGCCAGGAATGCCAACGCGTCAACATAACAAACGGCCCAACTAAGAGGAGTCAGTAGCCAATGCACAGAGTCTAGGAAGGCTGACAACAACACAGAAGATAGCAATGAAGCATGCTCTCACAATGTAGGGATGCCAGAAATAGAACATGTGCAAGCAAGATCAACAAGGACAATAGCAACACCAGTATCATATCAAAATCAGCATGCAGGGTTTTGTTTGGAAAAGGAGCCGGTGCCGCGGCTATCTGCCAAAGAGGCCGTGGAGTTGCGAGAACTCGGGGGCGTCGATGCACAGGGGCGTAGAGTTTGGGGCTCGAGGTTCATGATTGAGGGTTTAATTCAATTGAGCATCTTCTTGAAGGGCTATGGGTTTCAGAGAAAAGGATCAGGAGTTTCGATTCTCATGGTAATCTATCTAACATTTGGGAGTTAGGCAGTCTTGCCGATGCAGTTCTGCATTATGAATGTAGTGCGACACGAGCAACTACGGACGGGCTGGTGGTCTTTATGGCACACCGTGCACGAAGCTCTGTTTCAACTCCCATCCCAAAGTGCTTTATGTCTCAGTTCATAATCGGAACCTATACTTTCTTTCACCCAAAACCCTGGACCCGACACCCCTAAACCCCACAAACCTGGACCGCATAGAACCTTCCGAGCCGGCAAAGCCCTTATAGAGCCCTGTAGCCCTTTTAGAGCCCTTTTCAGAGCCCTTGTAGAAAGAACTCTTGTAGAGCCCTTATAGAAAGAACCCTTGTAGAGCCCTTATAGGACCCTTTTGAAGACTTTCCAGGTGAGGGAAGCACTCGGGGTCAGTTCGGGCCGTGTCTCGGCCGCAGGGGTCCAAAGTTTTTGGATTGGGGGTCTAGGGTTTAGGTTTTAGGGTTTAGGATTTAGGGTTTAGGGTTAGGGTTAAGGGATTGTGGCACCTTCGCAAGTGAGAATCGAGTGAGGCGATGTTTGTAGTAAGTAGGTACTAAGTAGGTCCTACCGCCCAGATCCACTTCCGGGAGACGTCGTCTGCTAAAGTTGGTGGGGGGAGGAAAGCACGACGGAAGTAGTTGGTGGTAAGCAAAGAGCAATCGCTTCAGCTGGCTCAAGCCGGCGTCCTGCAGATGTTGCGTGTTTTGCTTGCCGTTTAGCTTCAAGTTCTCGTACTATTCAGGAGGTATAAAAAACTCAACCCTAAGCCCTAAACCCAGGAAGTACAACAAACTAAACCCTAAATCCTAAACCCTAAACCAGGAAGTATAATAAACTAAACCCTGAACCCTAAACCCTAAACCCAGGAAGTATAATAAACTCAACCCTAAACCCTAAACCTAGGAAGTATAATAAACTAAACCCTAAAGCCTAAGCCCTAAACCCAGGAAGTATAATAAACTAAACCCTCAAGCCCAAGCCCTAAACC